TGTGATAATTATCAGTGTTTTGCCCAGCCTTGTGTGTTGTTCAGTCCCTCCGGGATTTTGCAGATTTTGTGATTGTTGCTGTCTAAAATGCCTGATTTTTGCGGCAGCTTTTCTGAAAAACTGCAATGAAAGTTGACATGTTTTGGGGCGTTTTTTGCTATGAAATTGTGGGAATAAGCGAAAACTGCATGGTAGGTTTTTTTAACTTTTATAATTATAGTTGAATCATTAAAGTCAAGATATTGCGGACCTAACCCTAATCATGCACATATAAACCAGCTTATCTTGATACTTTTTAGGGCTTGCAATTGAACCATTGATAGGTAAAATTTGTGGAAAAGTTGTGGTGATTGAAAGAGAAACTAGTAGTACTTATTTGTTGTACGTGCCTATACACTTTAGTTGGACGGCAGCAGGAATAGCTGCGGGTTTCATAGTCTAGTTTCCTATTGACACACATACCTCTTCCAGTTTACTTTGGAGCTGGTGCAGTCGTCATGACCTTTGTAACAGCTTTTGTCCCAGTCCTCGCAGCCCTGCTTGTGCTCTTCTTTTCACATGTAGTCATTCTGTTATGAGCGCTGTGCTGTGTCAAAATATCAAAATGTGTGTCATCTTTTGCACGCAACTCTGCGCAACTGTCACATGGTCCTCAGTGGGAATATGTGACGTTGCCTGTTCCCCTGCAGCTTACAGCAGATCAACACAAACACAGGTTCTCTGTGCAGTACGTCTCAGTCCTCTGACGCTCTCTGGGTCTTATGTTGAGATTTTCAGCTGTAATACGTGTGACGATGTCTGCAGCGGTGCTCCAGCTGATAAGATGTCGCAGTGCTTTAAAACAGCTTAACTTACTTTTTTACTTTCTGTTTCTGAGGTTAAGCACAGTTTGCACATAATTATGTGAATATACTTGCTTAGGAGAAAAGGCAGGTTTATGCTAACAGAAGTACTTTGCGATATTAACTTTTGCACACCAGTACATGAACTTCTTTGACACTTGTGGTCAGCGGCTTCATCCATTGGTTCTGGACCTTCACTTCTTTTTATTTCTAATACCTGGTAAACAGAACCTGCTTCTAAATTAGTTTTTTTCCTCAGCCGGGTCTGTTGCTTTCTCACCATTGTTCTTACTCTATTTGCTCACAGAAGCTCTAGTTTTCTTTTTCTTTAGTTTCGCTCCTCCCACCAATGAGCAGCATTCACCCTTAATTTGAATCTTTACTACGGAGTTTGATTTCCTCTCTGTATTGCAGTGCGATGCTGTTGTGAGGTTTCTTGCCAGAAATAATTTGAGAACAGAGCCAGTGCTGCCACCACGTGGCCACAACTGAATATGTTTGCTTGTTGTGTATTTGTTTTCACAGAACTGTGATTTAATCACCAAATGACTTCTGCAAGGCTGTGATCAGATCTGTCTGCTGCAGTTAGTGTTCCTCTTTCCTCCTTCCTTTTTTTTTCTTTAAATATGTGCAGAGAAACAGAACAGTGTGTTTCACTTCCTCCTTCTCCTGCTCGTAGATTATATTTCCCGAAAACACGGGATTATTCCCTCACAGATTAGGGAATGAAGCAGTTGGCCGTTGGTGCATGTTTTTGCAGATGTGTTTTAACACATTAATTTGACCACTGACCTGTATTTTTTATTTTTTTTTCTGGAAATCTATCATGTTTATTTAAGCCCCTCTTCTGTTCTCACTCCTCTTCTGAAATGGAGAGGAGTGCATCTTGGCCTGGAGTTTCCATGGCAACGCCGCCTGGTACATGGCGGAGCCGATATCTGTGTGTGTGTGTGTGTAGACTTGTTATTTGCATGTTGTGCCATATTATTCGGCAACGTGGGGTATCGTTGGAGACACTGTTACTGCTGGACTAGCCTTTTCTCCCTGTCAAACCAAAATCCTAATTTAATAAACTAACAAGAAGTCAGTGAATACAGCGAATAAACAGCCAATCCGACTGTTGATTAAACTAAATTGAATATGTGTGTGTGCTTACTGAACATCTTTTTTTTTTCTGTTTGCTGCTCTGTTCATTTGAGAAGCTGGTCTGCACAGGTCGCCATGGTAACAGCATCTCTACAAGGGATTTTCTCTCTCTGCAACCCCCCCTCGTGTCTTTGCTCTGCCCTTCACCCAGAGACATTTACTCCCGTGGGGTCTGACTAGACAAAAGCTAAAGATGCAAATCAAGCAAACAGCAATGCTAATCAAGGCTTAGACCCTCGATCCATGACTGTTGCTAATGGATTCATTGGTTTTGTTATACAGTAATTAAATTCACTAAACTGGTGTCTGAAACAGTGAATTCATTCTATTAGTGTCTGTCACTGTTTTTCTTCTGCATTCATTTTACCCGTGTAACCTGTTTCATAATGGAGTTTATTATGCAAAGGAGAGTCTTGTAGTGCTCTTGGCCCTTGAACTTTGACCCCTGATTCTCACCCATAACAGTTATTTATAACCAGGATTGCAAGATGATGTGCTATTACTTGGCCATTGAATATGAAAGTATCACTCTTATGATCTGATTGGACCATCATTACATAAAGGGACCGGGCATTTTTCACAAATGTGTGTGATTGTATATAGCGAGTGTGTATGTATGCAGTGTAGAAATTAATTTTGCGTCTGTATTCCATCCCATTGGATTTGAAATAAAACCGATTTATGAGGTTGAAGCTCATTTTTAGCTTTAAAAATGTTTGGTTGAGTTTACATTCATATGGGTGAAGAGTCCAGTAGACATAATAGCCCTTTCTATCTATAGCACCCTGTGTCACTGGACTAGTCAGTCACCTGACTTCAGTCCAATTTTTTTCACACTGAATGCAAAATTCCCCCAAAACAAGCCAGGGAAGGGAAGATGCCTGCAGTGTAGGCCTGACAGAGGTTCACCAGGCATGATACAAAGTGCCTGCTGATGTCTGTACATTGATTTAAAGCCTTGTTTAAATATGATCACCTTCTTCAGGGTTACAAGTACATTTTTGTCCCCTAAACCTTTGCTACTTTCTCTACTACTGAAAGCTGAATGTTGGCACTTGAACCTCCATTGTAATTGTTTCATTTCAAATCCAAGGTCCTTGACTACGAAGTGTAAAAACAAACAAAAACATGCCACTGTCCACACACTCAGGGACTGCAGTGTGTATGTGCGAGAGAGAGCAAGAGAGGGAGGGTCATGGCCTCAGATGGAGCAATGATCACAAGAGGGGTGTGGGGAGGGTGAAGGAAGGGGGAGACCACACCCCTCCTGTGATCATTGCTCCATCATCCTTTGTTCTTTTGTGTATGTGAAGAGAGAGAGCGTGAATAGATGAATATGTTTCTTGTCTCACAGGTAAATGAAGCAGCATAAAAAAGTGTGTTAAGAGGTTGTTGTTTGTGCGTGAGAGCGAGATGAAGGGACACAGGGTGTAAGAGGCTGGAGAGGTTGTGTTGTCAATGGTAATGAGTTTATGTTAGTTGGTCTGGCAGTAACACAGAGAAGCCCTGTTAATATTCCTGGGGTGTCTGTGTGCACACACACACACATTCATAGTTCTGCCTCCGCACTGGCTGCAACACTATGATGTCACCTCTCGTTTGATTGGCTGTGAGGCTGCTGAGGGAAGGAGGAGAGATGCTGGGAGAGAGAGAGGGAGGGATAGAAGATAGAGAGAGAGAGAGGGAGAGAGTGAAAGAAAATGCCGGCACTTGTATGGGTGGAGGGGTTTTCGGACAGCAATGTGAGGCGCGTGTGTGCACTCTTAGCCCCACTATGAAGTGTGTGTGAGGGGGGGTGTGTGTGTGTGTGTGTGTGTGTGTGTGTGTATGTGTCTTGGGGTACGGCTTGGAGAAGAGGGGGGACACCAATACCACGCCCTCCCAGAAGCATGAGGCGACTGATCTGCCAGCGGATCTGTGACTGTGAGTGCAGGGATGGACCTGGGTGTGTTTGGTGTGTGTGTGTCTGTGTTGATGAATGTAGTTTCATGGTAAAGGATGTACATGTCTGCTTCTTTACATGTGCACTTCACATTTACAGAGCTTGATACAATTGGCTCTGCAATTACTGTGAACATTTGGCTTGTCTGTGCACACACGCACGCTCCTCGTCAATTGATTTTGCATGTCGACTGTGTATAGGTAAGTCGATGTATTAGTCAAGGTGTAGGGTGGTGGCTTTGGCGCATTTCTCAATGGCTGGTTGTCAGACGAGCGAAACGCAACTGCATTCCTATGCCAACAGTTTCATCTCCTCAGTGGACGTGTGTGTGTGTGTGTGTGTCTCCTCACATTTTGTCGTCCGCAAGCTGGTAGATGCACGTTCAAAATGCTGCGCCATTGTTGCAAGTGTGTCTCAAGTTTCAATGCCAGCTTTCTTAGCTAGCTTAATTTCTACTAGCATGCAGATTGCGGACTTGGGTTTCCGGAGAGTTCTGTCAGTCACTGGTTGCACAGGTGGACATCTTGATCGTTTGCAGTGTTTTTTGGGCTCTTAGAAGTGGTTTGTGTTTGCCTTTTTCTTCTAACCTTATTGTAATTAGTATTGATTTAGTGATTCCTGACCAAGCTCTCCGTAGACAACAACCTCCCAGCATCCTTTGCTTCTCGTCTTTACTTTCTAGCGTTCCTTCTGATGGCCTTTTTATGCTTGACACAAAATCAAGTAAAATCCAAGGTGTTGTGAAATGCTCGAATGATCTGAGTGTTTGAATAAATAATGCGTTTTTATTTTAACATTTTAGAAAACCTATTTCATACTAGACTGTCTTCAGATTCTGTATTTTGTGAGTTTATAATGATGTTCATATATGTTGTGAATTAATAAAATAATCTTTCCAGTGTGTTTAGACTATTTATGGTCTGTTTTTGATGATAATGATTTGCAGTATTATTTAAGATTAATAACAGTTGTTACTCTGAACTTGACTCAACAACAGCATTTGCAAAGAGTTTGAACCATACTCCATGCCTACAGTGTGGATGATGACACTCTCTGTTCTCTCCTTCCAGATCGTAGTTTTGAGGATGATGACAGTGTGGATGGGAATCGTTCTTCCTCAGCCCAGGCTGCCTTCAAGGTCCCAAAAGTTCCCAAGAAGGCTGCAGAGTCCTCCGCCGCACGCAGGCCTAGCGCTACCGGTAGCAAGCTAGGTATTTTAACTTGCTATATATTTACACACACACACACACACACACAGACACACACAGAAAACAGAGCAGAGCTCATCTGTTTCCTCCAAGTTTGGGGGGGGGGGGAAGACATTTCCATATTGAGGAAGTGGGGTTTATAAAAGACTAATGGCTCCTCTAGGTTAGTGGCAAATTAAAATCAGTATCATTACAATTGGCAGTGCTTATTTTTGTCTATGTGGAAGTCACCATAACCAGTTATCTACTGTGCACATTTCTATGCGTCACTGTTTGATTATTTAGAGCTAATGCAGAAATACTTAAAACACTTCGCTGACAGGCAATGGGCCCAGTGAGTCCAAGACTCTAAAGAACCATTTGAGATACAATGTGTATTTGGGCACGATTTTAGTTTAATCCATTCAAAAAATGAACTAACATTATCAACATACTGTGACTAAGTTCATGTCATGCCTGTACTGTCTTGTAATACCACTTTGTACCTTTCCACCTCAGTTCTTACACACTGTATCTTTTTAAGAATTTATCTGCATCATTTGTACAGACAGTAACTTGAATGACTGGTAGCGAACTTCCAGGCTTGAATTACATCAGTCAGAATACAAAGCTGGACCACTAAAACAAGAATTAAATGTTTGTTATATTGTCGTAATATTTTTCTATTACCACCACACCTGAACGAGACTTGGACTGTCTACTAGTTTGGTGCCACCATGAATTTGTGTTTGACAGTCGTATCCAGTCAGGTATTCGAATCACATTTTGAAAAGGAGAAAAAAAAGTTTTACACTTAAATTGGCTTTTAGGTAATCATTGGGAAAGCATGCTGTCAATTTTACATACTTTGCAGTTGCAGTAAAGTGTTCCGATATTTGAGTGTGAAGTGAACCAGCCCAGGTGTCTGTGTCCTTCCGGTTCATCTTTTTGGACTAAATGCATGTGACACAATTTAGGTGAAGGTCGTTTAACTAGTAAAATAAACAAAATCTGTCCTGCCAGCCTTTAATGTCCTCAGAGACAATTCTGTGTAGATCATATTTTCCAGGATGTGGATGCAGCCTTTATGTGTAAAGGTTTATTACCTGTGGTCACAGAATAGGGACACACTGCTGAGGCTGTTAGAGTAAGCAAAAGGACTTGAGTAAGAAAATGTAGCAGTCCATAGCGACAGACTTCTCCTCAGGAGGTTAACACGCCTTCATGTTATCATCATCAGCCTCATGTCTGTGGTAGACTGCCTTTGAAACAGTTTATAATCATCAGAGAGAGAGAGAGAGAGAGAGAGAGACTCCCTCCCTCCTCTCTGTCAAGTCTTCTTCCAGCTGTAGTGTTATGTTTGCTTCGTCTTTGCATGTATTTATTTTTCCCCCATCTCTCTCTCGATGCCCTGCTACCTGCTGATGGATGTGTCAGCAGTGTCACATATACATGCACACATACACTCGTTGATGGAAGTGTTTTACAAGCAAACTGTCTGTCTACTTGAACTTTGCTGTGTTGTTGGAAACACAAGACAGTGATCTCTGGTCATTATAGTGTTATTGATCGTGGAGTGGCTGTTAGAGCTGGAAGTCAAGGGCATGCTGGGTATTTTATCGCTCAGAACCATGTTAAGTTTAATGGAAAATACGTGACTTAACCTTTCAGATGTGATATTTGCTCACTTGTTTCAAAGAGTTAACCTCTACGAACTGTTGGTTTGTTTTTAATTTAAATTTTTTGGGAGTTAGTGTCTCTAGCTTTTATTCTGCCATATCAGACTGGTTTCCATGATAACTGAGGTGGGAGGCCCCATTGTCTTCATTTGCATTTAGATGACAGTACGCCCACATACTCTGGCAACAACTGACAGATATTTCAATTTTGCCAAAAACTGGCAGACAAAAAGTCTAAAGCGGTATCAGAAAGGATGGAGGTACCTTTTTCCCACGACAAAGTACTTTTTGTTTACAATTTTAGGTTGAATACCGTTACTTTTTTTAAATGCTTGTTATGATTAAATAGTTGTTTTTTGTATCAAAGTTAGTTCTCCCAATTGTGAAAATATCCGCTATCGACATATTTATTATTATTGCAGCCATAACTGCTCACCCTGATAATATGCATTTCATAAAGCTGGCAATAAAAATGATTGAAAATGCTGATTGAGCACTCTTAGGTGGGTTTCATAGCCAGGCTGCCACCATGTTAGTATCAGAGAATATGGAGGATAGTGCTACATTGGTGTTTCCAGCTGTTTGAGGGCCATGGCGAGTTTTGACATGACATATCTTCGTGGTGCAGCCTGATAGTGGAAACAACCCCAGAGATATTTCTACTGCCTTTCTCTCTGTTAATACCCAACTCTCCTCCACCATGTCTACAGCCTCTTCCTCTCCTGTAAACGTCTTTAACCTGTGTCACTATTTTTATATTCTCTTCCTCGTGGATTGCTTCCCCTCCTCCTCCTCCTCCTCGCTCACTTTTTATTTATTTATTTTATTTTTGGGGGGCTGCCTTTGTCTTGTCTCTTCTCTCTGCTTCCCCAGTAGGAGGTTTGATCCACAGCATCCAGGGCCCAGAGAAATATGATTGACATACCCATTACTGCCAGGAAGTCTATTAGAAACACAGGCTGCGCCCAGTGACTAAAGTGCTTGTGTTTTTGTGTTAAACCAGAATCACAAAACCAACCACAGGAGAAAACCTATCACATAAGTGCACACACATATTATTATATTAAATGACTGTGCTCTGATTTTCTAGTATCCAAGGAAAGTGCCGGGGGGATTGATGAAGAGGACTTCATTAAAGCCTTTACAGATGTCCCTACTGTCCAGGTACACTACACACAGGAGCATGAATGCAGACAATCGCACTCCTTCTACACATTTAATAACCAAACCATATAGGCAATCAAGACTAGACTGTGTGAGAATTTGTTTTTGTCCTTCACATATTTGCTCTGCTCCCTCCCTTCTCCCCTATTTTGCTTCACTGTGTCTATGCAGATCTACTCGGCGAGGGATCTTGAGGACAACCTGAATAAGATCCGTGAGATCTGCTCTGATGACAAACACGACTGGGACCAGAGAGCCAACGCTGTCAGTAACACCAACCGATTCCCTTTTTTTCCAGTTACCGTATATCAACAAAATTACCTTCTTTGTAATGTTTGTTGTTTGTTTCTTTTACAGCTAAAGAAGATACGCTCATTGTTGGTGGCGGGCGCAGCCACCTACGACTGTTTCTACCAGCACCTACGGTTACTGGATGGAGCCTTCAAACTATCAGCTAAAGACCTGCGCTCCCAAGTTGTCCGAGAGGCCTGCATCACTGTGGCGTGAGTGTTGGTTTAAGATATTGCTGTCACTGGGGGGTGCATTTGTAATGACAAAATATACAAAATACTGCAAGAAAGGTTGAATTTTCCAGTTGCTGGTTGTGTTATAAAACATCCAAAATGAATTGTGAACCTTTTTTTATGCTTTCCTCTTCATGATGAGCAGTGAGAGGAAACGAAATCAGGACAACCTGTACAACTCAAACTTCTGGGCTGTGTCCAAAATAATTCACTCACTACTTGCTGTATAACAGACACTCAGACGTTTTATAGGGAACTGTAAGGTGAAACTTTGGACACGTATTGATCATTGGTTTTATATCAGCTGCATAGTCACACAATGGTCATTTTCACGTCTGTCAAATTAAACTCATTGCTTTTTTCATTCCGTTGTTGACCTTTTTTGAGGGCACTATAAATTCATATGTGTGGTTTCAGACACAGGCCTCATTAGGGAGATTGCACTGAACCTTTACTACGACCTTTACCACTGTTTGGATTGTGTGTTTATAACACACTTGTTTGTGTTCTTGTAGCTACCTCTCATCAGTGCTGGGGAATAAATTTGACCATGGAGCGGAGGCCATCGTTCCCGTCCTGTTCAACCTCATCCCCAACTGTGCCAAAGTCATGGCCACCTCCGGTGTTTCAGCCATCCGCATCATCATACGGGTGAGTTTTGCAAACACCCATCTATTCTTTCAGCAGTCTTGATGACTGGTCACTGTACTCTGTACTCTGCTGTAGTGTGATTACTGATTATTTGTCCACTTCGCGTGCTTCCCTTCTTCTCTGCAGCACACCCACGTCCCCAGGCTAATCCCCCTGATAACCAGTAACTGCACATCCAAGTCTGTGGCTGTTAGGAGGTGAGATTAACAAAGGCACTGATGTTCACACTACATTGTTTAAAATAAAAGCCTTGTGTGGCAATGAGCAGGTCTAAAATAATAAACAGCTGTAATGTCATAAAACGCTTATGATGATGCTGTTATGATGATAAAAATGTGTCATCTCCAGGCGCTGTTACGATTTCTTGGACCATCTACTACAGGAATGGCAAACCCACTCTCTTGAGAGGTGAGGGTTGATTTCATCTTGGTTCAGAGCAAAGATGTGCTCAACACAGCTGTCTCAGAAATGCCAAATCTGTCAATCAAACTGTGCAGGATTCACATTAGTGTGGTTTACAAAGGAAGAAAAGGTATTTTAAACCTATTTTCTACACGTTCACACTTAATGTACCTTTTGTATCTTGGTATCTCTCCCTTGCAGGCACACAGCTGTTCTGGTTGAGAGCATCAAGAAGGGAATTCGAGATGCAGACTCAGAGGCCCGAGTGGAGGCTCGCAAGTAAGACACGTACACACTCACGCATTTCTGTAAATGAAATTATATGAAAAATAAGCAGTGTTAAATACCTCACCAACCTCGTTTTCCTGTCTGAATCCCTTCCATTCTTCTCTTGTGCCTCCTCCATCATAATCTTTCTCCCTCCTCCCCCATCTTTATTCTCCCTCTTTGTTTTCAATTTGTCTCTCTTCATCGCTCCTCTTTGACCTCCTCTGTGTCTCTTTTCTTCCTCCCTCCTTGTCTCTTTTAGGGCCTACTGGGGTCTGAGGAACCACTTCCCAGGGGAGGCCGATGCTCTCTACAACTCCTTGGAGCCGTCGTACCAGAAGACCCTTCAGTCCTTCCTGAAGAGCTCTGGCAGCGTAGCCTCACTTCCCCAGAGTGACCGTTCCTCGTCCTCCTCTCAAGAGAGCCTCAAGTAATTAACGCTCAGCACTGCTCCTCCACCGTTCACTTTAGTCCTCTAGGTTGACTTAAGTCTATAAGATGTAATTTTGGCAGTAACCAGAGGAGAGAAATCTTATTATAAGACCCCATCTGTGGACCAATACAACCCTGTAGGATTTCCTGTACATGGATCAAATCTCCTCAGTTTGTTTCCTTTTCTCCTCCTGCTGTATTCAGCAATAAAAGAAACAATTCTACTGAATGAATGTATGAAAGTGGACACTCCTCTTTAGAAACACTAAATCCTCAGTAACTTCATCCACCTGTGTTGAGGCTTTGCAGAAGTTGAACAAAGAAATTCATACTAAGTTATTCAGGGCATTAAAGCCTCACTGTAACCCCAGTATTTTGGAGTTGTCATTGGTCTGCATTGTAGTTCACTGGCAAGATGTATACCATGCCAGAAATTAGAACAAAGTAGAAAGAGGTTCTTTCCTGCTGAACTGTTTTTATAAGTCTGTGGCTCAGAGAATACGCAGCATCACAGTGCTGGCTACAAAATGTTATGATAGAAATGTATGTAATGCAGTAGACAGTATTTTTTATCATATATTCTTTCTTCAGTTCTTACTTTAATCAAATATTATAAGACTAGTCATACACAGAAAAATAAATAGAATTATAAAACTAGATTATTGATTAGAAGAATTTAGTCTGTGTGAAACAAATGTAAAGATGCTGGCTTCAGGGCACAGGTGTTGAACAACTGAAGTCTGTTTGGGTCTATATGAATAACCAAAATATACTAACTACTACAGACGTACAGAAAACGTTGAAGCTGAATTAGCACACATTCTCTGAATCACCTGCTTTTACTCCTTAGTGCATATTTGTTTATATTTGAAGTGGATGGACTAAGCTTTTTGGGGTGATCACTGCTTATAGAAAGCAGTGCAATTCCACTTCACTTCTACTTCCACGAAAAATTGTTGAGCTGTTTATATTTTGTCATTGAGTAAAAAAAAAGAACATAGAAACATTTTTTGTGTGCATCCAACATATTTGTGTGTGTGTTGTTGTTTTGTTGTGCACTGACCTACTTTTCTTTCTCTTCTGTCAGTCGTCCTCTGACTTCTAAATGGTCAGCAGCTCCAGGGCGAGGTGAGTCAAGCACATGCGCGCACACACACACACACACAGACACACACACACACAAACACATCACATTCTCACTCACTCCTGTGAGAACACGCGCACTGTGACAAACTCCTACAGAGCCATATCCCATCATTCTCATTTACATCCGCCTGTGTCCAGCGCCGTACAGCCACATCCTGTTATGTTTTTATGTTACTACACACATGTGCGCAGACATAATGCGTATATGTGTCTGGCTTTTTGTGTATTTCTGTATGGTATAAGTATTGTCAGTGTAGTGTGGTGCCTGCATGTGTTTGTGATGTGTGTGTGTGTGTGTATATATATCCCTTCATCACCTCCCATCCCTTCTCCAACACACTCCTCCTCCTCCTCCTGTCCTATCAGTCCCTGCGGGTTCAAAGGGTGGGCAGTCGTCGGTCTCCCTGCAGCGTTCCCGTAGTGACGTGGATGTAAACGCAGCAGCAGTCGCTAAGCACCGCAACGTCGGACAGGCCAGGGCATCAGGGCGTCTGCCCCCTGGCTCCTACTCTTCACTGGGTAAGGGCCCCGTCAGTCAAGTTGGATGACTAATCAGGCAGTGCAGACATCGGTCAGCATGTGATCAGCAGGGTGTCAGGCAGAGATGGAGACTCAACCTGAAGAGTCATCTCAGATCAGCTCAGAAGATGGGCTTCTAAAGTGCACAGTACAGGTTGAAGTAGGACGTACTTAAAAGAAAACTCACCACATCTACAAAGCAGCGTAAAGGGATGGACCTACATGCTCACACACACTTGGACTGGCCTTTCTTCTCTCTGCTCCTGTGCTTTTCCCCTGCTGCCTGCTTGTTGCCTGTTAATGTATCCTGCTTGTGTTTTTTTATGAATATTCCCAGTGTGCATGTTCTGTAGTTGAATAATGTCCCCTATGTTGGTTGGTTTGTCTCTCTCTCTGTTTCAGTGTTGCCACTGCATCTGCATGGTTCTCTGTTAAACAGATGTTCTGTAATTAATACACACTCCTCTCTTCTCTTGTCCCTCCTCTATTTTCTTACATTCTTTCTTCCTTTTCAATATTTTGTGTTTACTTCTTACTGACACACTCTGTTCAATTTTCATTTTCCCTTTCTTGGGTTCCTTTTGTATCGCTTACTTTTTCTAATCATTTGTATCAATACTTTCCTCCTTGTTTCCCTTCGTTTTGTCCATTTTATTTCTTCCACCCCACCCCCCCTCTCTCTCTCTCTCTGCCTCTAAAGATGATGCCTCTGATAAAACGGATGGTAAGATCATCTCACTCTGCTTCAACAGCAACAACCTACTCATGCTTTTCTTTTTTCTTTCTATTCTTTTCCCTTTCCACATTTCATTCCAGTCCACCAGTCCATTTAACTCCTTTTTTGCAGTGTGTGGCCACAGCGCCCCCTGCTGTCAGTCTTTCATTCAACCCCCCTTTGTGTCACCATCCTACTCGACACATCACGGATCATTACACATCTTCTGCTTTACTACAGTTTAATCTTAGTTTTAATACAGAAATGGTCTAACCATCAATGCCTGCATTAAACTGCATCATTCAGCTATTGAGGTTTCATTAGGATACTTAGTAAGTGTTGTTGTTTTGCTATTATACACATGTCAGCTGAAATGTGTTGTTTACAACCTGCTCCTTCTGTGTCTGTCTGTAGGGACCAGATCAGACAATGGTAAGATCGCAGTTAGGTGGATGTGTGTGTGTGGGAGCATGTTTTAGGGATGTTCTAGTCGGGAACGTTGACAGAATTCATACCTAGACTTCAAGTTTGTTGTCGTCAGCAGAGAAACCACCAGGAATCAATATACTGAAAGTCTTTTATTTTTTTAAACAATGTAATTCTAAAATAAAAAGTTTCTAAATCTTGGAATCACAGATCCAACATTAATAGTGCAGTTAAATGATCCCTGTCACTGTTTTCTTATTAAGAACAAGTATTTTAAAAGAATGGATTCACATAAACACAAATTGCAGTTGCAAGTGGATCAGATGGTGCACTGTAGGAGCTAAAATGACAGAAATGAATGTAGTGAGTTGTCTGACAATGACTCGACATTTTGGCTGATATTTTTATCAAATGGATCAATACGCAGAGATAAATAACCACTTTGGTCATGAGTGGTTTCAGAAGTACGTACTTTGACGTATTTTCTCTATTTAATCTGTACACACGACATCTTTTGCATGTCTGTCCGTCCTGTTAGAGGGATCCCTCCTCTGTTGCTCTCTTCCTGAGGTTTCTTCCATTTTTTTCCCCTGTTAAAGGTTTTTTGAGGGAGTTTGTCCTTATCTGAATCATGGGTCTAAGGACAGAAGGTGTTGAATGCTGTACAGATTGTAAAGCCACTTGAGGCAAGTTTGTGATTTGTGAAATTGGGCTATATAAATAAAATTGACTACTACAACTAAACTGGTTCCTAATCCACTGAAACATCCCTGGTGTATTTATCTGTGTGTGTGCGCCTGGTTTAGTTTCGGCTCTGACGTTGGTTCAGCAGCTTCCAGTATCGGTAGCTTTTCGTCAGCTGGTAGTGCTTCTTAGGTTCTCGCTTTATTCAGCTGCTCAGTTTGCGCCTAGATGTGTTGGCATAGGAAGCACAGCAGTGTGTGTTGACACTGTTTTCATTAGTGTCTTTAACTTATTTTTCCACCTCCACATACATACAGGCCGTGTACGTACCAAGCAGCCCTTGTCAGCTGCCAGCAACATGTCCAGCCAGGTGGATTCACGAGGACGCAGCCGCACCAAGATGGTCTCCCAGTCGCAACGTATGTATCCCCTCCCACCGAAACACCCAGCATGACTTAAACCCAGCTGTGAGTGAAACATTCTGGGTATTAAGTCCACTTACATACAAACACAACAAACACACTGCAACAGAAAATGGGGTGTGTGAGCTGCTTGGTGTGGAGTGTGTTCGTAGTTTGTCAGGCTCTTGTTGTGGAGTTTGAGTTCTTGCTGCCTTCACGGTGACGATAAGCTCCATGTAAATGTTTTTGTGCCTTCAGGTTCCGACGAATCCGATTGCACACCAGGTATTCTGTTTGTGTGTCAGAGTGTGTGTGTGTGTCTGTGTGTGTGTCTGTCTGTGGGAATGGTGGCCCACCTGCTATTGCTCTCATTCTGACCAAGGTGTGTTGTGTAAAGAGGAAATGAGTGGGGGTGTGTTTTCCTGTGCATGCTGTGTCTCATCACTGAGGATGGTGTGGTGGACAGTTTATTTCGGCTGCTCTAGCCTGGCTCTGGCTGTCATTTTAGGTCATTAAAAAAACTTCATGAAGGAACTCAAGCCGCTTATTAGCGTGATGGCTTTTGTGCTGAACAGTGATTGGACCTAAGCCCAGTGCACCAATCATATCTGGACATCTAGATAAAAGACTAAATCTCAGAACAACAGACTAACAGAAACAGAGGAAATGGCAGCTGAACAGAGGCTGAGAAATATTTGTGTGTGTGTGTGTGCGTGAGAGATTGAGTGTATGGATATTGTTAAGCATATTTACTTTGAGGCATTTTCTTTTCCTCATTGTGAACTGGCTTTGCTTCATACGTATGCCAGCTGTTTCCCAACATGCACTGCTTTTCCCAGGCTCTCATCTGCAGCTGGTCCAGTGTGTGTGTTTGTTTTTAGCAACACATGTTCAAATAGTTGTTTTCTCTTCAATACATGGATTTGCTTCAGCCTCGTCTTCATTCTTTATATGGAACACCAGGATGCGCTCCCATCGTACTCTTTGTTCTGACTCCCATTTTTTTGCGCTAACACTCATAATTCATCTGGTTTAATCTGCTATTCCTTCCCCCTCGCCTCTGCTTCCCCCTCCTCCCAACCAATGGGCTTAATGGCTCAGGATCTCAGTCTGCTAACCCTGTTGGTGGTAAGATTACAACGCTACTTCTTTTTTTTTTACCCGCTCTCTTTATCTTTACTGCCTTTCCTCTGTTGCACTGACTTCTCCCTCCTTCACGTGCACTCAGAAAGGTCACTTAAGGCTCCTCTCACTCGAGCTGAGGCATGCTGGGATTTGTAGTCACAGACCGTTAATGTGGCTGTTCTATGATCATGCTAATCACACTGCTTTGGGAGCCTTGTGTTTCTGCACTCACATGTGTGCCTGGATGTAGCCTAAAGATTGAGAAGACGATGTTTTGTCACCTGTAAAAAGACAGCCTTTATCTAGTGGAATTAATTTTTCCAAAATCTTTTATTTTTAGATCCCAAGCAAATCGTTCTGATCATCTTAGCAACAGTTTGTAAAACAAAAAAAGTTTTTCTAACCCTTACAGCCATTTGTAGAATCAACAATAGCTTTGTGTATCCATAAATATAAGGAGATAAGGGAAGAAAGGAGGGGAGAGATGACAAGAAATACTAGAAATACTCTCAAGAGGTCAGAGTAGTTCCACTTATATACTTTTTTGTCTTTACTTGATTAAAAGTATCAGCAACAACCATAGTCTAAGTTATAAGTGGAACTCAAGATTACCACAGAAGATACCACAACAATCCCTATTTAGCTTTTTTCCTGTCATTTAGATGTATTTAATTAGCTCTGTGTCACTAGGTAGTCGTACCTAGAAACAGACTTTGTGTGTGTGGCTTTAGTTGGCTTTTTGTGTGTCAATGAGAGAGAGTGAGAGTGAGTCTGGTCTACGTGCTCATTTTCAGTCATGTTGAAATCAGTCACAGTCCAGCTTCATGGAGCTTGTTCCCCAAAAGCCTGTTCTTGCACTTCATATTCAGCACTGCAGAGCAGCTTCTCCTCAACTGTTTGTCTTCAGGTTGATAGAAATGTGAGTCATTGTAGAGTTTGACACACACTGTGGGTTTTGCATTTGGAGACAGGATGTCATGGGGAGGAGAAATATAGACCTTTCTTATCATATTTTCATTGTATTCTCCTGTATCTTCCAAAAGACAGGAGCGTTGTCTCTAAAATTGTCATGTTGTCAGTTTTAATATGTTGTATTTATTTTGTTTTTATTACACTTCCAAACAAAAGGCATTGTTTAGATTAAAATGCACTTTCTCTTGGTGTGGGTTTCAACTCTCCTAGCCCAAAGAATCCTCTTTCCAATGACATCCAACACTGTTTGCCATTTAGTTCCTTCTATTTTTGATGTTCATACTGTATGTTAAGACATTTGCCAAAACATGCTTGGAGACTAGTGCCACTAAGTGGAGGGCAGTAGCAGCTGTCTTTGTCAGTAGTATATGTACAGAGGTAGTTGCCATTTTTAAAAATAAGATCCTTACTTTAAAGGAGGATTCGTTAAGTTTCTCTGTAACTTTAACTGTTAAAATGCCATGTGTTGCCTGGGTAAGACTCTGATTTTTACTTTGTATTTTGTCCTCTTCCGTCTCTGCGTCTCTCTGAAGCTGGCAGTCGGAGCGGCTCCCCGGGTCGTGTACTGACGAGTACGGCCCTGAGCACCATGAGCTCAGGGGCCCACAGGGTGCTGGCTGGGGATGGACACAGACGCAGCCGCATCCCCCGCAGCCAGGGCTGCTCCAGAGACTCCTCCCCCACCCGCCTGTCTGTTGGTAAGTAAACCATTATAGTTTCATAACGGGAAGCCTTGTTTATATTTCATTCATTTCAACTGAATAATGAAAGTTCATCCTTAATATATTTGTCTTTCTGCTACGTGTATTTTATTTTATTTTTTTACAACTACTCAAAGGTTTTGTTTTTAAAAACGCAGCTTGCCAATGATTTAGACACTCAGTGATATCTTACAAACGTCACACACTACAGCCAGTCGTCCATGTATTTTTGGATCTCAGCTGAACTTTTCTCCCCCTCCTGCTCCGTCTCTACCTTTTCCTCCTCTGTTCTTCTCCCTGTCCTTCTCTACCTGCCCCTGCTGCTTCTGTCGTCTAGCTCCTTCCAGCATTAGTTCCATCTACAACGGAGCGAGCCGAGGAGGTAAGGCTCAGACCTCGACCCAGACCATCCTGCTGTCCATCTCTTTACCTCAGTCTATTCTCATCCTCATCTTAAAATCATTCTAAATCTCTATCCATCACAACAAATCTCACAATCTCCCCCATCTTCCCCACCCCTCCATCAAGCTGTTGCTCACCGCCTGAGCATCATAGAACCCGTCCCTCTAACCTGTCTCTGGCTTTATGGCTGTGTTGTTGTGGTGATGGGTGCCTGTGATCAGCAGATGTCCACGCATTATAAACGTACCTCCTCCCTCTCTTTACTAACCAGCGAATGAACCTCCTAGCAGGATCAGCGAAGCATCATCAGGGCATTGTAACCCTTTGGTAGGCTGATTAACCCTGATTGGCTGGGTAGATGCTGAAGCTGATGAACAAAGCAATACAAGATGATTGCGATGCTACTGGATGAAAAACGCAGATTCTCCCCTCGCTCACCCCCCTCGATCGCTATACTCATCTCATATCGCTTCCTTTTCTATTCTGTGTGTTTGTGTGTGAGACACAGGGAGATCGCCTGAGTGTTTGTGATTATTGGACCGTTTGAGTCCAGCAGTCCTGTGCTTCTTTTAGGTGCATCTCATCTGGAGCTGACACAATTAGTCGATCAAGAGTAAATTAATGTGCAGCAATTCGGATAATTGATGTAATTGTTCATCGAAATTTGTTTGTTTTAAGCTAATATGCCCAAAATTCACAGGTTCCAGCTTCTAAAATGTGAATTTTTGCTGTGAACTTTGGTAGTAAACTCATATTTTGCACAAATCAGGCAATGACTTCACCTAGGGCTCTTTGGAAAACTTTTGATGAACCAGCTGAAACGATTAGTCAGTTTATCTCCTTCTATTTCAGTGATTCATCATTTAAAGGTGACCTATTCTACCACATTTCCAGCCCTATATTGTAGTTATGTGACTATGTTTACCTCATTATTTGAAGCTTTGGCCATGTTTAACATGAACTTCTGACATTGTAACATTATAGATATGATAGAAAATATTGAAAAGCATATTAGGTCACCTTTAAGTAATCTGATAAACAAATGCCAAACATTTTCTAATTCTAGCCTCTCCCATTTTATTATTTACTATCATTGTAAACTGAATATCGTTGGATTTTGTTCTGTTTGACGGACAAAACAGGACATTTGAGGACTATTTTATAGACCAAATGACTACACTGTAAACCATAAAGCTAATCGATTGATTCATCAATAATGACGATGATCTCTAGTTGCCGCCCTAATCAAGACTATAATTGCTCCAATTGCTAATTGTTCATGAAAATAATTTAGTTGCAGTCCTAATCTCAGTCCTCTGAGGTGACTTCTTGTTGTTGCTGTTGAGATGCTCCCTCAGGGCCAGTAGACCTGTCCTCATATTCTTTGTTGTTCCTGTCAGTTTGTCACTTTTGCCTTTTTCCACGTTTGTCTTATTTATGTCTTTATCCATGTTCCTTCCCCTCTCTCTTCTTTGTCACTACTCATGTTTGTCTTTCTTCTTTTGTCTTTTTGTTGTCGTCTTCATGTCCCTTCTCCTTTGTGTTCTTACCTACCACTTTTCTTCCCTCCGCTGCTCTTCCTTCCCCCGTGTCCCCCTCATCTTTTCGGTGCGGTGTTGTAACCGGCACCGTTAGCTCGGGGCAGTCGTATCCCTCGGCCCAGTATGAGTCAGGGCTGCAGCAGAGAGGCCAGCAGGGAGAGCAGCCGGGACACCAGCCCTGTACGCTCCTTCACGCCCCTTGGTGAGTAGCAGTAGTGGACAGATACACAGGAGGGATGAGACGATAAGACATCAAAGGAGAAGAGAAACCTTTCTTTTCTTAAAGTTAGCTCAAACCAAAGTACTGTAGGCTTTTTTTAATTCAGTGTCTGATTTAAACTAAAAACATTAAAATGTCAATCGTTTAGAAAGTTGAGGGTGAATAAAAAAAAAAGAAAAAGAAATCACTTGCATGTTTTTCATCCTTTCTTTCTACTCTAGGGTTTTGTGTGTGTGTGTGTGTGTATGTGTGTGCGTGTGCGTGCTCGCGCGAGTGTTAAACTCTGTGTGTTTTTAATCTTGGTTGCAGCAACGCGGAGCTACTCTCGCTCCACCGGAGCTCTCCACACACCTGATACTTTTGGGGCAGCAGGTGAAGGCTGAGTACATCTATTTCCCCGTACCTCACCCACCCACTTCGCCTCAATTTCTGTTCGCGCCGTTTTTTTTTTTGTTTGTTTTTTTTTTATTGTTCTCTCTTGTGCCACGCATCTTCTCCTGTATTATGTGTCATCCTGTTTCTTTTCTTGTCCATCAGCCTCAGTTTTTTTTTGTTTGTTTTTTACCTTCAGCTCCAGGATGTCGACACCCTCCAGTGGAATCGCATGTTTCCGCCTGTTCAGTTGACAGCCATTCTGCCAGTTTTACCATTTGTTTTCTTTATTTGCCCTTGCCCCTCTCTGCAGAAACACCAACACACACACCTGTGTTTTCTGTCGATCATTCTTTCTCCCCCAGTGGCACCTGCAGTGTCACCTAACAAGTCATCATATCGACTTACAGGCTCGACTCATGAAAGGAAATGTAGCGTGTGTGTGTGGTTTGAGGAAATGTCAGAGAATGGATGATGAGGAGAAAGATGGAGGATGACTGGATCATCAGTGGACAAATGAGAACCACCTCGATGAGTGAGAGAATGGGGTTAGCAATTTCAGGTCTCAAGTCTAACGTTTGCTTTCCTGCTGTCCCTCTTCCTCCCACTCCGTCTGACTCTCTACAGGATCAGGTTTTGGCATCAGTCAGTCCAGTCGTCTCTCTTCCTCAGTCAGTGCCATGAGGGTCCTCAACACGGGCTCCGACGTAGAAGAGGCTCTCGCAGATGCACTGGTATGAAAACGCATACACTTCCCCAACACATATACATAAAAAAACGCATAACCACTCTTTGCACATTTCAGTAAGCTGTCACCATATGCAGCGCACACCTCCTGGAGTGTGTGTGTGTGTTAACTAACCCTGGTTCTACCTCTGTTTAATGCTGTCAGCTGTTGGGAGACATGCGGTCCAAGGTCAGCTTCTTCCCCCGCCTCTTACCTGTGTGTCCTGTGTGTGTGTGTGTGTGTGTGTGTGTGTGTGCGTTTAGCTGTGTTGTGTTCCGTCAAGCTAGGTGTGTGAGTGAGCATGTTTTCTGCCTGTGCCTTGTTATTACTCTGTCTTAACTTTCATTTTAATTTCATGTCCTTTCCACTTCTCCTGTCCTTCACCTACAGAAGAAGCCAGCACGGCGGCGGTACGAGAACTACAGCATGTACTCCGATGATGACGCTAATAGTGATGCATCAAGCGCCTGTTCGGAGAGATCCTACAGCTCCAGGAACGGAGGAGCCATCCCCACGTACATGAGACAGACAGAAGACGTAGCCGAGGTTAGCGCTAATATGCACACTTCATTATGTGTTTATTTATTGCAAGTCATATGTCATTTCAAACAATGTTATCGCACATTGAATATTTTTCTCATACCGTGCAGGCCCACCTCATGCCCGTTGGGTCTGCTCTTGCCAAATAACCGTCACCAAATAATAGTAAAGTATCAATAAAGAATCAGATCATTAAGCAGTCTCAATAAGGGTATCAGTGTCAATAAAAATGAACAATCCCCATCCCTAATAAACACACAAGTCTGGTAACAGTTCAGGGAAATTTGGTTTTGATTTGGGGCACTGCAACTATGCAGTGAGGAAATCTGTGCCATTAGTGAAGGAACTGGATCACTGAGATTCATACAGTCTTTGATATTGGAGTTCAGTTCCACACTTGTTCTGATGTAAATGTTTCTATCCTCTAAATCTGAAAAACCAGGAAACCATTTCACCTCAGTATCAAGCTCAACTTTTCTTAATATCATTACTTCCCGCTGTATAGAAGTCTCAACAGGCCTTTTTGTGGTTCCTGTCAGGTGCTGAACCGCTGTGCCAGTGCCAATTGGTCAGAGAGGAAGGAGGGGCTGCTGGGCCTTCAGGCGCTGCTCAAGAACCAACGCACCCTCAGGTCAGCAGCAGAACAGGCAAATGTGTTTTCCAAGAGATAAAATGATTGTTGATTTTCACCTAACTGTGTTATTTTGTTGTTTTGATGTGCAGTCGGGTGGAGTTGAAGAGGCTGTGTGAAATCTTCACCAGGATGTTTGCTGACCCTCACAGTAAGGTATGAATGCATGAAGCACAAGTGCTCACACAAAGACGCACAGCACTCATTTACAATATCATTTCAAATAGATCCATGATTCACCCACTTTGATTTCTATTTTGGTTCCCCATACTTTGTTTATCCCGCCATCCTTCACTGTACCGGATTCTGCCAAAACAAAGACAATGCCCTGCTTGTTAATTCACACAGACACATTTTAGGAGTCAGTATTGTTAAATAAAGTATTTTGAATACGTTTAGAGATAAAGACATGATAAACGGGTCAAAACCTGTTCTCCGATGTACACACACGGATATACACACTCAAACATAAACACAGGCATGCAGAGTGTGCGACAGTTTTCTAATGGCATGCCATGCCTGCGTGTGACCTCACACTCTCCGCTGTCCTGTGGTGTTCCTCTATCTCTGTTCATCAGCCAAATGCTGTGCTCACTGCATTCACTGCCACTCCCTCTCTTCCGCCCCCTCCCTGCAGTCTGCAGCGACGACACTGACCGCACACACACTCAGACGCACGTGAATATACAAGCACATGTTTGGGCTGGCAGCTCCTGTCTCCGTCTAACCAGCTGCGGTTCGCCCTCTCTAACACTGACACTTTTCTTTCGGCATTTTTGAGTGCCCGTTGCCTCACACATGTCGTAAGGTGTGTGAGCCCCCCCCCACCCTTTTCCCCTCGTTTGACATTTGACGATTTGATGAATTTCAGCGAGACTCCGGCAGGGTGTACGGCACAGCAGAATCCAGTATAAGCTCAGCCTCTTTCAAGGTACTGCATCTCACCGTGGATTCTGCCTTCATCTCTCTATCCCCACTTCTTCTTTCTCATCTCCCATGTTTTTCAAGATATCTTTCAGTTCTCAGTTTTTTTTTCCTAGTGTGCACAAAACATCACTTCACGTTTTTTCAAGATGTTGTTGGTCTTTTTTTGTCCATTTTGCAAATGTTGGATTGAAAGTCAAGATTGTTGAACGAACACTTGGGTGTTCTCTGTCAGGATGCTAACAGATGTGTCTCTCTCTCCCCCATGCCACCCTCTGGAACTCTCTGTAGAGAGTAAGTTTGGCCAATCAGTGTTACTGTGCTTGTACATTGTGTTTGGATAGATTCATCTGATTGGATAACCCTTTATCAGGGCAACAACGTAACAGTCACTAACCCTCCTCACATAATGTTGCCTGTAACGATACTGTCCTGCTGAAATCAACCACTGGCATGTAGAGACGATCACCATGCAGTCTGATTGGTGTTAATTCTTGTCAAGTAATTAACTGTCTCATTGTGGTTGTCTTCTAATATTAATATGATTATTATTAATTTGGGTGATTTAAGTTTAACTGGTGATTGGGAATGAAGGTGGGCTGCTGCAATGATAATAACCACTAACTTCACAATGGGAACTAATGCTACTCTCACATGATGCTATAACTTTATCCTCTAAATACATGACTACTTGCATGTGTGCATGAAACGTGAATTGTTGAGTGAATGACTGAGTCTGACCCAAACTGTGTGTGTGTGTGTAGGTGTTCAGCATGTTCCTGGAGACACTGGTAGATTTCATCCATGTCCATAAGGAGGATCTGCAGGACTGGTTGTTCGTCCTGCTCACACAGCTGTTGAAGAAGATGGGAGCTGACCTGCTGGGCTCCGTACAGGCCAAAGTTCAGAGAGCCCTGGATGTCACACGGTAGGTGTCACGCTATATAGACTGACATTAGGGCATGTAGGTTGTTGACCCATGGGTAACATAAGTATAAGTATGTAGTAAAATTATATTTGAGCGTGAAAGTTCACTCTTGGCCTTTGGGAATAGTAAGTGTAACAACATTATTTAAGCTCCAAGGTCAGCTTTTCAAAGCTCTCAGTCACATCTCAAGAAGCCTTTGAGATGTTTTTGAAAGCTCTTAAATGCTAGTTTGCTCTTAGATTATTTGTTTACATATAAAGAATAGATAGGCCTCTGAGGATCATTGGGCCTCATGCAAGAACCACTCATATAAACAGATTTGACAGAAGTGGCTTGTACAAGTGATTTTGGAGAACTTTCACCAGTTTTCTTGTATTTAGAATTTTCTCTTGGGTAAGAACACAATTTGGTCCAGTCCTGAAGCAGGAGTCAAGTGGAATTAGTCAGCTGTTTTCCCTACCTATATTTTCACTAATGGAATGTAATTTTGAAGCAATCCTATATAAATTACACTTCATAAATTATGTTGACATTGTCCAGTTTGACTCTGGAGTTTGAATTAAAATATAATTCTAAATGTATTCATATAACCTAATAACGATGGGGCGTAATACCTACATAACAATATAATCATTCATTTGAATTGGTTATTAATGCTATAACGCCACATTATCAATATGAACATCTCGCACTGCAAAACAACTTAGATGATGCACTGTTTAATTAGTCTCTGAATATAATAAGGTCAGCTAGCAGTGTAATCTTTTGGATTAGCGCATTGGGCCCTTGGAATAGAGTGACAGCAAGCTGATATATTGGCAGAGACAGATTAATGGTTGTTGTTGTCGTGGTTTAGTTTACAGTGGGTACGGAAAGTATTCAGACCCCTTTAAATTTTTCACTCTTTGTTTCATTGCAGCCATTTTCCAAAAATCAAAAAAGTTCATTTTATTTCTCAGTAATGTACACTCAGCACCCCATCTTGACAGAAAAAAACAGAAATGTAGAAATTTTTGCAAATTTATTAAAAAAGAAAAACTGAAATATCACATGGTCATAAGTATTCAGACCCTTTGCCGTGACACTCATATTTAACTCAGGTGCTGTCTATTTCTTCTGATCATCCTTGAGATGGTTCTACACCTTCATTTGAGTCCAGCTGTGTTTGATTATACTGATTGGACTTGATTAGGAAAGCCACACACCTGTCTATATAAGACCTTACAGCTCACAGTGCATGTCAGAGCAAATGAGAATCATGAGGTCAAAGGAACTGCCTGAAGAGCTCAGAGACAGAATTGTGGCAAGGCACAGATCTGGCCAAGGTTACAAAAAAATTTCTGCTGCACTTAAGGTTCCTAAGAGCACAGTGGCCTCCATAATCCTCAAATGGAAGACGTTTGGGACGACCAGAACCCTTCCTAGAGCTGGCCGTCCGGCCAAACTGAGCTATCGGGGGAGAAGAGCCTTGGTGAGAGAGGTAAAGAAGAACCCAAAGGTCACTGTGGCTGAGCTCCAGAGATGCAGTCGGGAGATGGGAGAAAGTTGTAGTAAGTCAACCATCACTGCAGCAATCCACCAGTCGGGGCTTTATGGCAGAGTGGCCCGACGGAAGCCTCTCCTCAGTGCAAGACACATGAAAGCCCGCATGGAGTTTGCTAAAAAACACCTGAAGGACTCCAAGATGGTGATAAATAAGACCAAGATAGAACTTTTTGGCCTTAATTCTAAGTGGTATGTGTGGAGAAAACCAGGCACTGCTCATCACCTGTCCAATACAGTCTCAACAGTGAAGCATGGTGGTGGCAGCATCATGCTGTGGGGGTGTTTTTCAGCTGCAGGGACAGGACGACTGGTTGCAATCGAGGGAAAGATGAATGCGGCCAAGTACAGGTATATCCTGGACGAAAACCTTTTTTCCAGAGTGCTCTGGACCTCAGACTGGGCCGAAGGTTTACCTTCCAACAAGACAATGACCCTAAGCACACCGCTAAAATAACGAAGGAGTGGCTTCACAACAACTCCGTGGCTGTTCTTGAATGGCCCAGCCAGAGCCCTGACTTAAACCCAATTGAGCATCTCTGGAGAGACCTGAAAATGGCTGGCCACCAACGTTTACCATCCAACCTGACAGAACTGGAGAGGATCTTCAAGGAGGAATGGCAGAGGATACCCAAATCCAGATGTGAAAAACTTGTTGCATCTTTCCCAAAACGACTCATAGCTGTATTAGATCAAAAGGGTGCTTCTACTAAATACTGAGCAAAGGGTCTGAATACTTATGACCATGTGATATTTCAGTTTTTCTTTTTTAATAAATTTGCAAAAATTTCTACATTTCTGTTTTTTTCTGTCAAGATGGGGTGCTGAGTGTACATTACTGAGAAATAAAATGAACTTTTTTGATTTGTGGAAAATGGCTGCAATGAAACAAAGAGTGAAAAATTTAAAGGGGTCTGAATACTTTCCGTACCCACTGTACATCGGGCTGTGCTTCTGCAAATGTGAAACTTTTTAGAGCTGTAACTCTGCAGACAGACACACGAATACAACCATTTTCACCCAACTCCACTGCTGACACTGTTAAAGGATATACTTTCCTTTAAGGATGTCCGCAGGACTTCAGTCTCCAAACTTGCGCAGCCTTATACGGTATTATGCTAATTTACAATTCTCATGAATACGTGCTCATTTACCCACAGAAGGCACTCATCATGTTTACACGTCATTTACAGTTATACAAACGAAAAAAAAGCATGAGACAGTAAGATAAAAATACAAAAATGTTCTTGCACGAGGCCCGATGCTTCCTTTTCTCTCGTGTTTTCGTACATACACAAATGGTGGTTTTAGCAAGAGAAAGGAACAACAGGCCATCCTTTTACCTCTGACTTTTGTAGTTACACACTCATTTATCTTAACCTGTCGAGATCCTTTTACTCTAGATGTGTTTCTGTGTGTACTGGAGGTTTAATTTGAATTTCTTTCTTCTCTGACAGAGAGTCTTTCCCCAACGACCTCCAGTTTACTATTCTCATGCGATTCACTGTGGACCAGACACAGACACCCAACCTCAAGGTAAATAGTTTGTGTGTGTGTGTCCACGAGAAAGAGAGCTGCCTGTGTGAAGGTCTGCATACGGGAGGGGAGGATGGACATGAGGCTTGAAACTAGGGAACTGTGTAACCATGGTAACTGCTGTACTGATATGACCTCGTACCTGCCCATGCTGGTGCTGCCTCTCAAAAAATACAAACAAAAAAACCCTGAATCCTGGGCTGTGATTGGATAGCCATTGATGTGGACACTCCTCCTTATCCATTGTCTTGTACTTTCCTCTCTCTCACTAATCCTTCTGTTAAAGCAACTTCTTGCCTCACCAGTATCACCTCTCCCAACTGTCCTTACGACGGTTGACAAGCAATTTCTGCTTCTTCATCCCTCACTCCTCGTCCTCATTACCTCTTTATTTCTCTCTCGCTCTGCCCCCTCCCACACCTTTTCCTGCCTGATGTTTCACCACATTCTCACCACTTTTTCATTCCTGTCAGTCTCCCTCTTCCTTTGCCTTCCAGGTAGGCTTGGGAATGAAAGATATTGTCATCACTAAAATTTCACCCTCCTGCCCCAAATATAAATTTACTCACCCTTCATTTGACATGCAGTAGGAAGTGGACTTGCTGTGTGGCCTGAAGAAAAATGATTTTAAATTCTCTGTTCAGGACCTCACAGCTCACATCACAGGCTAGGGTAGGGCAATGTGACGATATATATACCATGAGACAGTATAAATATGTAAAGCTGCTTTGAACAGTTGCATGAAGCTTCATAACTCACTGATTCATGTTGGTTAATTTGGCATCACAGCTCTTTGCTGCCATCATATGACAATTACAGTGTGTACTACCAGATTTTCAGAATATTGTAAAATTTAAATGACGCCCAAGCCTACCTTCCAATCTTTTTACTCCTCTTATACTCTCTGCTCCCTCCTCCTTCCTCTTCCGTTTCCTCTCTTGTCTCTCCCTGCCCTTCCCTGTCCCTGTCTCCCTTTCTGTCTGATTGACGCGGTGCTTCTCCTCTCTCTCTCTGAAGCCTGTACGGAGCTCGTGTTGTGGGCGAGGCAGGGGAGGGTCCGGGGTAAAATTGTTCCCCCCCAGAGCGCGGCGCCATGCCTGCTCTCTAGACGAGCAGGCCGCAGCCTGGAGCCAGTCCTCCCAGGTCAGTGCGCTCCGGGGGGAGCAATTATATGGCGCGCACGGTGCTGCTAAGTGATTTGGAGGAAATTCTGGTCCTTGAGGTGCATAATGTAGAGAGACGGAGAAGGGGAGAGAGATGGAGGAAAATCAGGGCAGGAGTCAGTTGTTGTGGCGTTTTGGAGCCAGCGGTGAATGTTTGCATTAAATAGTTCCTTTGGTTTTTGTCATCTGTCATTTGCTTTTCTTTTGATTGATTTTGTTTTCCTAAAGCATGACCTTGAATGCACTTTGATCTTCTCTAACTGATTCATCAGATCATTCGATTTTCAGACCTGCAAGAGTTGCACAGTCTGCCGTGGTTGTACATGCTGACGTGTGTGGTCACTTTTTCAGGCTTGTGTTTGAAGTTTTGCTATGACTGTATTTGTGTTTTTTCGGGTGAATATTGGCCATGCTGTGTCTTTGTTTTCACCCAACATACTGATGATTTTTATAAATGTGTGTTGCAGGTGAAGGTGGCCATTCTGAAGTATATTGAGACTCTGGCGATACAGATGGAAGCTCCAGACTTCGTGAACTCCAGTGAGACTCGGCTGGCCGTCTCCCGCATCATCACCTGGACAACTGAACCCAAGAGCTCTGACGTCAGAAAAGTACTGACACACAAACCTGATAGTTTGGAGATGAACATACTTTATTCCTACAGTTGATTCTCCTGTTATTGGAAAGAACCCTTTGATTTACTAATACACACAAATGCAGGAAAGTCAGTGGAATGTCTTTCAAAAGTCTTTCTAACCAATAGTATTTTGTTTTTTACAGGCAGCCCAGTCTGTGCTAATCTCGTTGTTCCAGCTCAACACTCCAGAGTTCACCATGCTGCTGGCAGCTCTGCCCAAAACCTTTCAGGACGGAGCCACCAAGCTGCTTCAAAACCATCTGAAGAACACTGGCAATGTTGCACAGGTAAAACACACACACACACACACACACACACACACACACACACACACACACACACACACACACACACTGGTCAGTTCACACGAGGGGGAGGGAGTATTTCAGACACGCACATTACTATATTGCTATAGTTGTCAATCATTAAACCAAAATTTTAATAGCATACTTCTTTCTAACATAACTTTTTTATTGTATTGTTTTTATCCTGTCCTTAGGCACCAATGGGCAGCCCTCTTACGCGCCACACCCCTAGATCTCCAGCCAGCTGGTCCAGCCCGGTCACTTCCCCCACCAACACCTCCCAGAATACCCCCTCACCAAGGTAACACACACACACACAAGCTTTACACCTCTACTTAGCACAATTCATAAAAATGGAAAATCCATCTAACAATCGTTTACATATTAGCAAGAGCAGTAGAAAAGAGTAAAGTCTACAGACGTTTATATCAAGTAAACCACATTAGAGACAGAATGACTCTGGGCTGCTTCTTCCTTTTATACATCTAGTTAAGAATGTAAAAAAATATGCACAGTAATTTAGATATCAATACTGTTTTGTAGTTTTATTTTTGATTGTTTCCACTCTTACACGTATTTCAGTCAGATTTATTCTAAGAATAGTAGGAATACCATATGAAACGCGTATCATACTTGGGGGGACGGGACAGTATTTAGCAGGACAGTTTGATTACTCACTTCAGCTGTAATTGTGCAGACCTGGCTCAGTGTCCCTTTTTCTCATCTCGTTTATGTGCAGTGCATTTGACTACGACACAGAGAACATGAACTCGGAGGACATCTACAGTTCACTGAAAGGTGTCACCGAGGCGATCCAGAACTTCAGCGTCCGCAGCCAAGAGGACATGAATGAACCCGTCCAACGGCGGGAGGGCGAAGAGGTCAGTAGAGCAGACAGGTGGATGTGTTGATCAGTATGTGTCGAGGCTGACTTGGAACTGTTGGAGCTTGTGTAAGATATTCTTGGGAAGGAAGGTTTTTTTTGTTTTTGTTTTTTCTGTAATTGTCAGCAACATCTTTTGGTTTTAAATGAGATTTTCTCACTCTATTATAGTGACATAACAAAAGTGAAACATTTACACGATTGTGTGAAGCATGGCAGCCCACAAGTAGGCTTACATTCACATCACATTTATTCATTTAGCTGACACCTTTATCCAAAGCGACTTACAATTGCTATATATGTCAGAGGTCACACGCCTCTGGAGCAATGAGGGGTTAAGTATCTTGTTCAAGAACGCAATGGTAGATGTGTCACAGTAGGAATCTCACACCAAAAGCATGTGTCCTAACCACTGTACCATCGCCACGCCACAGCTTAAAAAGCTACCTACATTTTGGAATTCTTTCATGAAGTTTTGCACTTCATCTGTTTTTCTTGATATGAAGGAGCCAGTTATGTCATGACATTTCTCTATGTGCTGTAAAAATAGCTTCTCCTGTCTGGCAGTTTATTTTATTCCTTAAATGTGTAAAGGCCTAAACACACCCAGGTACCTACATCTGATCTGTTGCACCCCTCCCCCCCCATAACGTGGGAACTGAGAGGCATACATTAAGTGTTGATGGGACTGAGGACTGTAAATGTAATCCTCTTTAGCCACTGATCAAATCATCTTTGTTTTGTTATGATCCCAACTGCTGAAAATGACTTTTCCTGACTTGGTTTTCTCAGCAAGAACCTTCCCTCGTGCTTATCTAGGCACTCTGCTTGTTCAGTCCAAATTTATGACCTCAGCCAATATGCCAGGTCTTATTGCAGTCTCTCTCAACAACCCCAGCCCCTTTTTAAAGAACATCGTGTACTCTAGTACAGAGGTGTGACCTCCTGACATTTTCCGCATGAAGTGCATCTGAAATCTAACCTGCCCACATGCCATGAGCCTGCCAATCACAGCACACCTGACTCATCAAACTACAACTCTTGATAGTGGCGTCTAGTGGTTTGAGTGTAAATATACACAGAAATAAGAGCACCTTAAACCTTTGCACCCTTCTCCGCTTCTCACGTGGTGGTTCACCATATGTCAGCGTCCACAAGTCCCCAACACTGGGTTGTTTTGATCACATCTAGAGAACAACATCACGCTGTAAACAAAGGAAATGTCACCACCTTTTCCTGGTCAGGTGATCCAGATGAATAAATCTGGAAAGTGAAACTGGAAAGTGTGTGTTTCCTTTGTTTTGACCATTATCTGTACCAGTTTGGGATGCTTTCACACCTAACCTGTTGAGTGTACTTCATAGGAATTCTGGTGTGTTTACTTGTTTGGTTAATTTATTCCGCTGTGAAGCTGTCATTTTAACTCTGATGTGGTCTAAACCGCTGGACCGACTTGGTCTGGCTCCGTTTGTTTGTGCTGTGAAAGCAAAATCCATCTGCTGATCGTCAACTGTCGAAAGTAATCTCCCAAGCAAAATCTATATGTAAGATAACTAAATAAATATGCAAGATAATGTGTGCTGGCATTTTTCTTGATGTATCAGAACATATAAATGAGAAACTAAAATTATAAAAAGTGCTAAAAATATGTCGCTCTAGTTTGAGTATTTCAGCAGTTCCCAAGTAAAGACAGTGAAAACATGGCAACCTCACACCTTTTTAATATTAATCAAGTAAATTCAAGTTTATTTATATTTATTTAATCTAAAATAAAATTCCTTTAATTGTACAGTTTTATTTATATAGCTCAAAATCACAAAGGGTATCCACCCTCTGTCCACAGACAGTGTGGTTAAGAAAAAAAAAACAAAATTATTGTTAAAGACTCTTTTTGACAGATGAGGTGAAGTTGCAGTCTGGGCTAATAATGTTTATAATAAAATATTTCTTTGCTTCTTATGACAGCTAAAACAAACACAAGGTGCAGCATATCTTGTCAGTCCAATGGAATAAACATGTTTTTTGGTTGGGTTCTTTTGTGAAATCTGTCTAATGAATGAGTTGGCTGTGAGTCCATGTGACTCGTCCATGTGACTCGTCCATGTGTACACCTCTTGGTTCAACTGTAAAAACAGTCGGTGTGAACATAAAACAGATGTGAAATAAAAGGCAATAGTGTTATCTGTTTTTTTGTTTGTTTGTTTTGTTTTTATTTGGTCTGGACCAAATGAACCAAAATACAGCTGTGAAAGTGACACACTTTTTTTTATTTTATTGCATCTCTGCAGGGTGACAGCGGGACAGACATCCGAATGTCAGACTCAGTGGAAGGAGGCCGCATGGCTCTGGATAACAAGACCTCCCTCCTCAACACCCCCTTGCTCTCATCCAGTCCACGAGGGGCCCGCGAGCACTTCTCGGACTCTCCTTTCAAACAGTCGCAAAGACACCAGCATGGACGACTCAGAGTGTCTCACTGATGGTACATACATACACATCCTGTCAGAAAAATAACAGACATGCTGTGTACCACACAAAACAAATCGTATGATGATCGTACCATTTTTTTTGTCTCTTAACAGATAGCAGCTTGGACCAATCAGAGTTGGTGGCCGAGCTGCTGAAAGAGTTGTCCAATCACAATGAGCGCATTGAGGAGAGGAAAGCAGCGCTGCACAAACTGCTGAAGCTGATTCGCGAAAACACCCTGCAGGTGTGGGACGAACATTTCAAGACCATTCTGCTGCTCCTGCTCGAAACGATGGGCGACAGAGAGGTACACGCACTCGCTTCATTTCTGCGATAACACTGGTGCAAATAGGCCAAGATAAGTTTTCTCTTTTAATCTTCAATCTTTGTAATTCTCCCAGCATGTGATCCGGACGCTGGCTCTGCGGGTGCTGAGGGAGATTCTCAGCAAGCAGCCCTGGAGGTTCAAAAACTACGCAGAGCTCACCATCATGAAGGCCTTGGAGGCTCACAAAGACCACCACAAGGAGGTATATGTACTCGCAGACGAGTTCACTTAAAAACTGTTTTTATCATGAGAACTTCAGAATTCGTGAAGAGATGAGTGAAGAGCCCAAATAAAGTTTTCATACCATCAATACTGATGATGATTGCGTGTGTTCCTTCAGGTGGTACGAGCAGCAGAGGAGACTGCAGCCATGTTGGCGTTGTCCATTAGTCCAGACCAGTGTGTCAAGGTCTTGTGTCCCATCATCCAGTCAGCTGACTACCCCATCAACCTGGCTGCCATCAAGATGCAGACCAAAGTGGTGGAGAGGGTTCCCCGCGAGGGCCTGATGAGCCTGCTGCCTGAGATAGTGCCAGGACTCATACAGGTAACACACACAGACCATATATTTAACATTTAGTTTTGATGCTGAAAATCGCAGTCTAGGTTTATTAAAAATAAGACAAATTGTTCTTTGTATGTTTTGCAGTCAAGTGATTCTGTTTAAACAATAGTTCTCAGTTATTCTAGATCTTGGTAAAGCTTTGTCATAAGTGGCTAATATGTTATTTCTTTCATAAAGTTGGTAAAAATCAAATGTGCCTCCTGTCCTCACACGCCATCCATGCTTTCCTACATGAATAGTTTCTCAGACTCCTTCATTTTGACGAGAGTGTCTGGCAGGTTTGTAATCGATGTTATCTGTGTGAACAGGGTTACGACAACTCTGAGAGCAGTGTGAGGAAAGCCTGTGTGTTCTGCTTGGTGGCCATTTACGCAGTGATCGGAGAAGACCTCAAACCGCACCTCAGCCAACTCTCCAGCAGCAAGGTAACCTGACCTATAAGCAGTAGAAACGTGAACTTAGCACAAGCCAGTTGGCTGAAAATGTGTTGTTTCTCATCAGTGTTCTAATGCAAGATCTTTTATATCTTGATTACATCAATGTTATGGCACCTTAAAGGGTATTGAGCCAGCGAGCTGCAGCGAAACCAGTCTGCAACATAATCCTTGCAGGCAATTGCGCCCAAGTACGTCCAGTAAAGTGCTTGTTTTTGCCACTGACAGTCTCAGATTGTTATGACAAGTGTCTGACAGTGTAGAAATGATCCCTACAGAGAGAGACCTTTTTAGAGTAAGATCCACCAGACTCCCTTGATTAAAAACAGTAATTTTCCTTTCTTTTTTTGTAATGTTATGAAATATTAAAGCACATTTTTCTGTATTGAAACTAATATTTGAATTAATGTTATGTCTCTTTCTTGCATTCAAACTACTGTTATTAAAAGATCAGACAGACTGTTAAATGACATACAAAAACATAAAGACAGGGAAACACAAATTACATAAAGGGGTTTATTAGATCAGCAAAAAATGTATATTTGGCAGAATCTCAGTGCTTGATCAGATTCATCCCAATACATCAAAATAGTCATGTGACAGGAAGCCTAAACAGATGCAGTAGTCATATATACCACAATCGTACACTAACACCGTAGTGGGGTCAGCTCTAGCACTGCCAGCCAATGTATGGAAGAATCAGCCAGCACTGGTCATTTCGTATTAATTTCAACATATTAACAAGCTTAAGATGGCACATTTTAACCTAAGATAATAATTTGTCACATAAAGACAAACACCATGCATGACAACACATCTGAGGTACTAAGTGTTTTCACAGGCTGGATTTTCACCACGGTGTACCCCCTTGTATGACTTCCAAGACACACATTCACATGTCTCTCCTCTGTCTGTTTTTCTGTCCGTAGCTGAAGCTGTTGAATCTGTACATCAAGCGTGCCCAGTCCGGCTCCAGCGGCAGCGAACCCCCGTCTGACGGCCTATAGGAGACGTAGCGCCCTCCCACACGTCAACCTCAGAACTCTGCCCACCAAAACCATCCGTTCATGAGCTCTCGCCCACACAGACCGAGAACAAAACACACATCCTTAACACCCTTTCACAGCAGCAAACTGCTTACATCCACACGTACGCTTGCACTCACACACAGGTACACACCGTGCTTCTACATTTCCTGTTCCACTACAAGATGGGAGTTGTGGTGAAGAAGAGTGTTCTCCTGACCATCGCTGAGGATCCACTGATCTCAGACTGAACTGAACTCTTAACTTTGGATTAAACAAACAAACACATTCAGTCACATAGTCCACCCAGGTTTGACACTAACCACTCAAGGATGAAGAAATGTCCGTCCTCTTCACCTCCTCTACATCCGAACACAACAGTATCCCCTCTGAATAACATCTTGATGTTGACAGGAAGTGGTGCAACTGCATGGTTCTCTTTTTTTTTTTTTTTTTTCTTTTTGGGTGGGGGGGTAAGGTTCATAGAACAGGGCTGAGACGAACGAATGGTGCCGCCATGTGTCTTCAAAAGCGAGTGACCAGGGCCAGGTAGAAAGGAATGTAAATTTACATTGTGTCATAGTTTGGATTTATTTTACAATGAGATTTTACTGCAGCGGTTTTTAATGTCTGGAGTATTCTTTCTCTTTCACACACACACAAACACACACTTTCTCTCTCTCTCAAAAAGGTGCTGATTAGCCTAAAAGGTACGACGACCAACCAAGCACTAACACAAGCCGCAGTGGGTCGTGCCTGCTCATAGCAAACACAGTACATAGGCAGATTCCAAAGTATAGGAGGTTATTGTGAGCTTGGCTATGCATGACTAAATTTTAAAAATTACTTTTTATTGGGGTCCTATTGACAGTCAGAATAGTGAGACTGTGGTTTTAAATTAATGTGAACAATGTCCATCCCTTTCAGAAAAACCTATGGTGTCCTCCATTTGTCTCATCTTGGATCAGTCCGCTTCTGGGCAACATGGGGAGGAAGATGGGTGTGTGCTGCTTACTACATTAGGTATAACAGGCGTATTATCACATAGGGGATATGTATCTATATGATATTAAAATGGAATATCCAGTAACAGTGTCATTTACGAGAGTCCCTGGGGGGGTGCACGAGCGCACCTGTGGCCATCCTTGTTTTTATTTTCTCTTTCTCTCTGTTGCCCGTGCCCTAGTCTCTCTCTCTCGTTCTCTCGCTCCCTCACACTTATGTTTTCTCTGCTGAGAAATTTGTAGAAATGTATTATTTACAGCTATGAAAAAACAACTGTCAAGTGACCCTCTTCTACTCTTCATCGTGTCTTTCTTTCCTTCCTCTTATTGTAACATTCTAGTTTTCACTGTTGTGTTCCCTCTGTGCATTTACAAAGCTGTGCTTACAATAAAATAAAGAACTTGTACAGATCATGATACGCCCTGTCTTTTTTTTTTTCTTTTTTTTTTTGCAGTGGAAGAGAGTCCCGTGGTGAAAGGAGGGATAGAAATGTTAATGACAGAAGAGACACATTGAACATGTTGGTCTTTACTTATTGCAGTACTGCCCATGAGATTCAGCGTTGAAGACTGATCAATCAATTTTCTAACAGAAAAATCTAATGATCCTGGATCAGTGGTAAACCATTTCCAGTATATCTTCAGAAGGTCTGTACTTTAAATCAGGAGATCCAATGAGATTTAAAACATGCAAGATATGTGCTTTTTAGGAGTAACTACTCTGATGTAACAGCTGTACGCTGATGCACACAGGGGGCTTTTAATTTCATTACAGTGGTTTCCAACGTGGGGGTTGGGGAAATAGTCCAAAGATAATTCATCTGGGTTCACCAGATAATTATAAGCATAGGATTGAGAGAAGATAAATGTACACAGAGTTGTGTGTATGTTTGACATTGACATTAAATACTTTTCCCTCTTTAGGCTCTAAATATCCCTGAAATGACAGCTCATAATGGTCGTCTATTACCTGCAATGAGGGGCCACAAGTTCACTTTGATTCATTTTAAAATTTCCATTATTGATTATTCTGTTAATGTTTTTTTTTTTATTAATCATTTGATTTATAAAAAACTGAAATTGATGAAAAATGTCCACAATTTCTTACATGTGTTCAAATTACTTATGAAAAAAAACAAACATTCAATTTACTATCTCATAGGATAAAAGAAAGATGCATTTTCTGTCCAACACCTAATCAGTGAATTGACAATTAATGGTTTCAGGTCTGGAACTCATGCTCTATTTCGTTTATAGCCAGGGTTGTTCAATAATTGCGTGTACGACACAACAAACTGGACTAATCCGGACATGGTGTAAAATATGATGATTTGTCTTATGCAATGTAGTCATTTAAGAAGCCGGTGTTCTGTCGATTTATGCTACCTACCGAAATGTGCTACTTAGGGGTTCTGCGCATGCGTATGACCCACAAGCGTGGTTTGTTTCCACGCCCATAAATATGTGCAACCTTGCTGTTGGGAACGCCGTCGAGAAATTGTCTGATCGTCAGTAACATCAAAAAAAATATATTAATCAGAATACGCTACCCCTGATATCTTAAATAAAGATGGCATAATATAGTATTTCAACATGCTCCCCATCTCCGTACAGTACATGTGGAGTGAGTAGTGATGCAATATAAAATGATTCTATGGTGGGAGCATTATTTGATAGGGGATATTAGAATACGCTACCCCTGAAATGATGTTATCATATATATTATTATTATTATTATTATCAATATAATCAAATACACTCACAATACTGTGAGAGTTATAACTTTATGGGATTGGAAAAGGGACCATATAATATATCATTTTTCGATAGGGCAGAGCGACTCGATAGACTGCTGTAGATTTGCGCTACGGTAGCATTTTTCGACAAGGCAGCATAGATCGTCAGAACACCGGTGTTGAATTTCATGTATGCATAAGTTCTCTTGGATGTAAATTTAGGTGCAGCTAAAGAGAGTCTCGGATACACTACCAGCCTGACCTGTAAACCTGCAGTTAATACGCTGTCTGTCCTTAAATAAGCAAACCCATCTATTACATTAGGCCTACAGCAGTGGAGTATAACTAATTACATTTAAGATACTTGTACTTTACTTGAGAATTTACATTTTATACTTCTACAGTACAATTCAGGGAGAAATATTACTACTACTATTGTATTCATACTTTGCAGATTACATTTTTTTTGTATAAAATATGGATTTTATAAATCACCAACAGTATATAAAGTAGTAAAATTAACTGCACCTCCACCAGCAATAACAGCGATCTACACGTTAAAACATTAGTAATAATCCGACAATATATTTAATAATGTATAAGTGAAATTCTGAGTTCTTGGTACTTTTATTTGTGATTCTTTAAGTAGCCTACATTTGGCTGGTAATACTTATAGGTCTACATTAAAAGTAGTTTTAAATGCATGACTCTTATTTTATTAATTGTTAAATCTATGTAAATTATTAAGAGGGTTCTTTAAAGTTTGCACGATTAATTTTACTTTACTCTTACTCTGTCTGTAAGCTGAATTGTCTGAGAAGTCAGACAAGGCGATAATGTAATGAAGTCATAAGGCGGGTCTTCCCCCCCGTCGGGCCAAAACAGTGCGTGCACCCTGCCTTAGGCTTCAGGTTTAGCCACCCAACTTGACAGTGCGCCACGTCCAGGGTCCGACCGGTGGATAATTATTGACCAGACAAAACAACAAATCCGAAACCCGCTGCTGTGGAGAAAACTCCTCTTCAACAGTGACATGAGCTCCTGTTCTGAGCTCCTCGGTACCGGGCTGGGTCGTGTTTATTTGCAGCAGGAGTGACTGTAGCGACAGGTGTCGGTGGGGACACGATGTTGTTCTGGCAGCCCTACACTGAAAACTTCCGAGCCCCTGTGCAGAGACACGGCGGCAGCAGTTACACAAGGTACGAGCCTCATAAACATAAACGTTTAGTAGTTTATGGTCTCAGATGTCAACTGTGTTCTTAAGTTCTCTATAATATAAGTTAATAACTTTTTTATTGCTTCCTTTCACATTTGGAGCCTTATACTTTACATTTCCTTTATTTAACCAGGTTCTAAGCCGATTGAGAACAGATTCTCAAATTACACTAATTTCTGTGTGGACAGAAGTTGGTTGCATATATCTGCAGTGTTACTACTCTGAGTGTTCATCTTTGTAGACATTTATGACTTTGTAGATGCATTATAGTTTCTGGGAGGCACAAGTACAGTTGGACACAATGACGGAAGCTCCACGGCCTCTGATTGGCTGACCGCCCTGCGCCGGGCAGAGAAGGCGGGCTCTGATTGGTTGATCTGCGTCCTGGCATCCTTCCTCAGGCTGGCAGCGCTGCAGGCTTTACACAGACAGACTGCCTGTATGCCGAGGGAGCCATGTTGATGCCTGGTTTTGTGTCAACCGCTGCATTTCGGATGGTTAAAGGACTGCGTCTGAAAGACCGGGAGACTTAGCGGTGGTTGTAGCACCGCGATGAGAAGAGGAGCGCGGGTTGAGATGGTTCACGGAGCGCCAGAGAAGACTTAGGTCGCTGAACAGTTGTTTCAAAGCAAGTTGATGCTAGTTAGCCTAATAGCTAGGTAGCAACAGCTGTGCGGACGCTGCGTGGGATGCGGCGTGTTGACTAAAACAAACCCCTCGTCTCTCCTTGTTGCATTTTGCTGGGCTAACGTTAGTTAGACTGCTTGAAGACCCTGTGCCCCGGCGGAGTAACAACGGGGCTGCTGCGTTCATGCTCGCTTGCTTTAGTCGCATCTGTAAAGCTAACTAGCTATAAGCTACCGTTAGCATGCTGACACTCCGCTCGCATCTACAGTCACGACTAACATTTGCTAGCTGAGTGGACTCCTAACTTATCGTTGCTTTCAGACAGCCTGCCAGTTGTGGAGCACCGCGTTGTGTGAGGAAAATCCCGAGTGGAGATAATGGCGGCACAAACAGTCTCTGTGGAAAGCTACCAATTCGCCTGCCTAGCTTGCCAGGGAGCGGCTAACGGGCTAGCAGCGTAACTTTCCTCTCGCGGTGTCACACAGAAGCTGCAGAGCCCGCTTCCTCACTAGCCGACGTCTCGTACCTGAAGCAAGCTGGCGGCCCTCCGAGTAGAAGCCGAGGACAAGGAGCTGGGGCCCATGGCCTGGGTCCTGAAGATGGACGACGCCACCATAGAGTCGGGGCTGGTGCACGACTTCGATGCCAGCTTGTCCGGCATCGGGCAGGAGCTGGGGGCTGGAGCCTACAGCATGAGGTTAGAGAAGGAATCAACATGCCAAGCCTAGCTTCCTAACACAGTAGTGGGTTGTTGGAGAGGACAACACACACTGTGTGAAGAGTTACATTACAGCCCCCCACACCTCCGCCCGTGTGTGTTATTGTCTTTGTAGTGGGTGTGATGGCCTCTTTGTTTTGGGATTTGGAGTAGGGCAGTCATTGCAGGGTGCCACCATCAGGGACACAGATTAATTTCTCTAAACCCACAAAAAGCAAAGAACATGTGTTATACTGTGAGGGACAAAGACAACTCAGTTTATCCTCTTGCTCAGATTATGGCCATGTTGCCCGGAGATCTACATTTTGTGTACATTTCTAGATAACATAGTGGAAGTCTGCAGGAGAGGCCCTGTTTTGGCCCCTCAGACTGGCAGAGTTATCCGAACAGGTGCGTTTGGACAAGTGTGTGAGGAAACAAAAGCATAATGCTGCATAATGTAACGTGGATCTTTCCCTAAAAATATTGTCTTAAGTTAGTTGATTTATATTTGGAAATGTGCCACACAACAACAATATTAATAAAACAAACCTAAGAATCTGAACAAGTATTCATTACCATTCTTGAGACTTTTTGACTACAGACTGTAATGTGTCACATCAAAAAGTGAATGCTTGGTCAGGTTCTTGAACTTCAAATGAAACAATCTCACCAAATGATGTGGCTGTTTTAAGCTTTTGATCAGAAGACACAATCTTCAGCAACTGTCTGTCCAGTTGTTATTTAGATGATCAAATTTCCATTTTTAAAACGTGTTTTTTCCCCCCCCAAACTTATCACAGGTGTTTTATTGAAATCCAGAAAGTTGTCGAAACTGCACTACACAGCCCTGCAACAAATTCTCATCTTCCATGTTAAGTTTTAATTTAATGATTTGTGGATGTGCTGCTAGTTCCTGGTCAATCAGGTGATTACAACATTTGCTCCTAAATGTGGCTTCTTATAAATCAGGGAAACTAATCTGGTCAGTCTGTACTACTTGTTGATAAAGTGTCTGTGGAGGCGATCAACAAGCTTCCTGTATCTGTCTGTCTTAAATGGTTTAAGAAGCACTGTGTTGGCATCAAAGTGGTATTGATACAAAGCACCTGTTCAATTAGTAACTCTTATGGTATGCGTG